CTTATCGCTGTGAAAATTGGCATACATGTAGATCAATAGATTCCCCAGATGCAAAAAAAATTTGGTAGTGACAAATTTTTTCCTTCGACTTAATTTTAATGATGAAAGTTGCCTTATATTTACCAAGGATTTTCTCAAAGCTGACTGATTGTAAATGAAAAAGAAATTGATTAAAATGTAGGCCAAGATGTCTACCTAATTATAAGGCCGAAAACGGAACTCAAATACATATCGAAAGTACTAATTTAATAATAAATAGACACACACATCGGAAAATTAAAAACTCGGATTTTTTGGCGCCGATTGCGAAATCCCATACACAAAAAGTAGTAGTCTCCCTTGACTTACCGAAGTACCTAATACTGTCTCACTCAGACTCGGTGTCTGGAGACTGTAGACTCGGTCACTGTTCAGTGTAGAACGAACTGTAGTCTGTAGTCTTTTTTATTTATTTTTGTAAACAGTCTGAAAGTGCTTACCTTCAATCTAGCTTACTTCTATATCCTCCATTCACGTATTAAATAAAACACATAGGCCCATATAATTGCATAAGCCAAAGACAAAATAATAGGAATTCTTTAAGTTATTATGATAATAGCTTGCTTCCAGTAGGCCAACAAATGTAACTAAATACCGGTATATATCGTTCACAACCCCAAAAACATAAATTCTTTAGTAACTGAGGTCGACACATCAGATTCATGGTTATGGAATGGACATCTAAGAATTGTATTTTTTCATCATTATGAAAACTAATGCTGCATTCTTAGAACAATATGAGTTAGCTTTAATAATAATTGTACATTATACAGAATTAAACGTTTCGGCACATGCCTTCATCAGTACAAACAAACACATTTAAATAAGTATAAATTAAATTTACATAATGTCAATATATATATCCTACCTAAAACAGAAAAAATATAGGAGAGGGCGCTTAAACCTGACAAAAACAAAGTAAAAAGGCTAATGACTTAGGCCTAGGCTTTGAGAAATTAAACACAGTACAGCAACAAATAACTTTTTAGTGGACAGGTTTGAACTACTATTGAATAAACTTGCCTGGGTAACTACAGATGGTGATCCATCTTTAACAGATAAAAATGTGGATCTGATCAGAAAAATGAATGATCAATTAAGAAACTTACATTTTGGTCACACTATATTATCATATCATTGCAACATCCACCAAGAAAGTTTATGTTAAGCTGCATTTGATATAAAACACGTTTTTGACCCTGTTGTCAGTGCTGAAACTGTAAACGCATTAAGAGCTCAGGGAATAAATCACAGATATTTAAATCTTTCCTTACTTAAAGAGCTGGAATCTTAAAATTCTGATGTACTTTCTCATACGCATGTATTTTGGCTAAGTATTGGAAAGGTTTTGAAGTGAGTATAGAATAGGTAAGAAATAGTGTTGTTTCTGGAGGTGAAAGATATTGCAGGAGAATTTGCAACAATGATCAGAGGCGTAGCGAGGGGGTGGCAGGGGGGGGACAGATGTCCCTGGGCACCAGCTAGTTAGGGGCGCCAAAATGTGCTTTGATATTATTTTATTGGTAAAAATAATGGGTTTGAGAGTTGAAAAAATGAAAAGGAGGCACTTTAAAATGAATCTTGTCCCCGGGCACCAAACACAATCGCTACGCCTCTGACTATGACAAAAAGCTCAAAATAGCTATCTGATTTTGCTTTTGCTCTTGACATTCTTGACAGACTTAATGATCTGAATTTAATGCTACAAAGAAGAAGTTTGTTTGCTCAATAGCCTTTTTTCCCATTACATTGAGGGTTGCCATTTTTGGCCAACTGAAGACTTTCTTTCAAGGAAGGGCGGGGGGCAAACAACTTGTCTTGCCCTAGTTGGCACTAACCCTCGGTACACTACTGGTTTGAACTCTTGGCAGCACTGAATTCTTTCAATTGAAACATGTTGTTCTCTAGACTTTCTGAAGAACACAATTTTGCTCACTCTCCAACAAGGAAGACACAAACTGTTTAATCAGAATGTGCATCAAAATATAGTCAACAGATATTATCTTTAGAGAAAGAATTTTCAAGGTGTTTCAGTGATTTTAAAGTGATTGAAGACCATTTTGTTCTTTTCACCATGCTATTTTCATTTGACATTATAAAAGCTTCTACTGATCTGCAGCTAGTTTTAATAGACTTGCAAACTGACAACATTCTCATGAGAAATTCAAAGACTTGGATATAACATTTCATGCATGCTAAATTACTGTATATAAAACACTTGCCTTGAAATTGTTCATTTTGTTTGGCTTATATTACATCTGTTAGCAAATGTTCTCCTATTTGAAAATCAATAAATGCAAGAACAGGACTCAGCTGTCCAACTTTGGATTCTGTAGTACTCATTTCAAAAAGTGCTATGAATCCAAATTATGGGAAACTAGTTAATAACTTTGCAGCTATAAAAATCTCATTAAACAATTTTTAAAGAATGTAACTTAATTCTAACAGATTAAAACTATCAGCACCATTAACTAGTCTCTATTTATCAGATGTTATATGTTTATTATATTCTCACTTTTATTATTTTAAATTTGTTAACGATTAGATCAATGTATTGTCTAAAACTCTGTTCCTAGAAAATTATCGTGCCAACATTTTTTTTTAAAATCCCATGCAACATTTGGCCTTGGTAAAAAAAGATGCCAATCCTTGGTACAGACCCTGGAAACAGTTGCTCTGTTGGTTCTGCACTCAGTATGCCTACTCATTTGGGAACCACTGATTTTACATATTAATATTATTATATTTAAATAAATTGTTTATCCCTAATAATGCATCAGCACTAAATAAACAAATATTTTTTTTATATAAAAATGTGATGACTTAAATTTTGTAACCATTTAATGAACTTTGACTAGCCACATAATTTAAAATAAAAATGTAATAAATGTAATTAAGTATTCAGGTCAATTTTTGAATATCCCCTGCCCTGTCCCTGCTGAAGGGAAGAACTGTCATCTCTTCCATAACAATTAATTATTGTTTTCAATACAAAATTGAAATACTGCCAATTTATCTTTTTGTCCATGATTCTTTGTCCTAATAATAGTTAACATTTTTAAAAAATCTCTATTGTAGGTCTTAATTACCTTTACAAGAAATTAGATTTCAGTCAATTTTCGGTAGTTAGAGTTGCCGTTCTCCTGTTTTTCGTTTTATTTTATGACCGGATCTTAGAAATTGGGTTATTATTGTATTCTTAGGCATATATTTTGTTTAAATGGAACATATCCTCTAAATTGACTAAGAAACACGTAAGAGCTTAAACAATATTAAGCAATTATTTTATTCAGGTTTAATTTTAATGTCTCGTAATAGTAGTGTTGATACATTTTAGTATAAGTTAGACTGGGTCACTGTCTCAACTGTCTCTTTGTTTCTTAGTGCTTAGACTTAGTATAGTAGTTGTTTGTACAACTTTGTTATAAGTTATTGTTTTTAATCTTAGTTAGCCCTAGTCAATTTAGTCAGGGCATTCAAAGTCAAAGTATTGTCTCTATAGTCAGTACTAATAATAAACTAGAAAATTACTACTACCAATACTTCTATTGTCCTGCACTCTCACACTGACTTAGGCTTAGTTAGATTGAAGTTGTAGTCTCAGTCTCACCATCTTCACTTAACCGAAGTTAACCATAGCCTTAATCTTTATTTGGGGGGGGGGGGGGGGGGGGGGGAGAGAGAGAGAGAGAAACCTGTGCACTGGCTACTCTCATTTAAATGGCATTGAAACAGTATCAGTCAGAAAACTTATACAAATATAGTTTAAAATCTTAAAGTACTACTTAGTTTTTAGTTTAGTACCTAAGATCACTGAACTTATTTAATTATTGAATTTTATTGACGGCATCTGCATTACTGCATTGAATCATATTCATTGCCTTTGTCAATGCTTGGCATTAGCCTTCTCAGCTTCTGACGATACTGGTAGGCCTACTGACATTGAATTTGAGTACTGATGAAGAAGGCTACTCTTGGTCTTGGCAGTGCAGTCTCTTACTTAGTACTTAGTTTAGTTAACCTAGTTTTTAAATTTAAGTTGTTTCTACTTCTACCTTTATACTTTTTATATATAATGTAACTCATGCTAATTATTGAGGTAGTAGCATGGTTAACTAATTTACTTAATTGATAGTTCAGGATGCCGGCTTCTCTTTTGTAGTAATTTAATAATTAATTCACTTCTTTCACTCCTTAACTCGATTGGCCTGTCAAACAATGAAGTAGATGATAACTTCCACGAATAAATTGCACAGTACTTTATTACTTCACTTACTACAACAATAATGATAATATGTCTTGCATTAATATCCAAGTAACAAATCCAGAATGCAATTATCTCATACATATATAATATAATACTCCACAGCATAATAGAAATAATTCACATGACAGTAAGTTAAACACGTCCTCTCTTCTCTTCGACTTAAGATGTACTGCCCTGATCACTTAGAATAAGTTAGAACATGCGGTTCATCTCCGCCGTACAAAAATATAGTTCATTCTCTTTTCCCGTGAAATAATGCTAGTTAGTGGAGTTCACTATTCAAATCATGACACCTCCCTGACTTAATGGTTTCGTGTGCAAAATTGCAGACATGGTCTGTTACACGCCCTACGTAAAAATTATAGTACAGCATGAAATAAACTAAAAAAAACTGCTAATCATTAAATGCAATGCTGGGTGTGTGACAATCAAAATTCTTCAATGTTATTGTATCAAAATGTCATAATCATTCAATATCTACCGTATAATTGAGTAATCATTATTATTAACATATTATCCAAATCTTTATATTATAAAGTTGTAAGACAACTCTATCTTAAGAAAATATGTCACAACATAGAAAATGTCATTCATAAACTATAAGTATAAGTCATAGTCTCTAGACTATTACTGGTGGTAGTCGAGATAGACTTGAGAGATATAATCTTTTAAGTTTAATAAATATTCATTATTTTATTATTTATATGATATGCATTATTTAAAAATTATTAATTATGGCTTATGAGTATAATAACTATATAATCTATACTATGTGTATGGCCTAGAACAGAAGTCTCAAACCACCATAAGAACTTTTAGTTGGATCAGTCTCTGCACTCCAATCAGTTAAATTAATCAGAAAATCAGTAAAAATATAAATGTATCCACCCCAAGACCTAACATTCTGTGTTACTCAGCTGTAAATGTCACGCTAATTTTTGTTGGTGCTAATTTCTTGTTATGTTCTATAGTTTAATGAAGAATGTAGCATTTGACATTATCTTACTATTGTTGGAGAGACTTTACCATCACCTAGACAGCCTTAAAAAATATGCTAAGAGTGCTTTTCCTAGACTTTTCATCACCATTTAACACTATTTTACCTCAAAAAAACTGTACAATTTCGGCGTAAACAGACAAGTCGTTAACTTATTCTACAGTGTAACAATTGGAAGCCTACTTAATTTAAATATTACCTGCTGGTGTGGGAAATAATCGTCTGATATTAAACACCGCATAAACCGACTAATCAAGAAAGCTAGGAACATAAAACAAACTTAACATCTTTCACTTGAAGAACTATTTGAAGAAAGATGTTATTTTTAAACTAACACATTTTGGATGATACATCCCACCCTCTTCATCACAGATACTTCTTCTTCTTCTTATATTTGAGGGCCCACGATCAATTTGTTGATCATTCTACTTCAGATACTTAGGATCTGCCCTTTCGGGATGAATTCTTTCCGTTAAGGCGAGGACTGAAAGATATAAAAATTCTTTTGTTCCCCAATCTGTATGAATTTACCAGCATGCTGCCCCAGAAGTCACAAAACTAAATGAGAACTAATAAGTCCCTGATGTGACTAAGAGAGTTCATTGAATGGCTGATTTTTCACTAGTGAAATAATTTAATGTAGATGTCTTGAGTTCAAACTGTTTTATTTATGTGCTGAAAATGTACAATGCAATTAACAAAAGAATCTCATCTTATCTAATATTTTTTTATCTTCTATTATGATCTTAGCATGGACAACATAAGTTTGGGAAGCAGCACTGGATCTGGTGATGGGAAGGAAACAGTTTGTCAGCTGAGCAGCACAGAGCATACAAAGCAGTTAATTGCAAACATTGATCAGATGAGGACTGACTCTAACTACTCTGACATTGTTATTTTAATAGAGGATCTCCGATTCCCATGTCATAAAGTTAGTTGTATTCCTTCCTATGTGATAAAGTTAGTTGCAATTTTATATCATTATTTTAATAGAGGATCTCAGAGTCCCTTGTCATGAAGTTAATTGTAATTTTTGTTTTAAGTAATGAATTGATGTAATTGTTGTAATAATTGAGTTTCATTATGATAGCTATCAGTATCACTATCAGTGGGAAAGTGTGAGGTGATGGGCACACTGTATGATTAGTTTGAACAAAAAATTCTAATAATTAGGTGAGAAAAGTGTCGTTTACTAGTGGAGCCGTCCATAAAGTATGCCATTTTAACATACATATAAAACCTGAAATTGACAGGTTTAACTTTCTGTTGTGATGGATGTATGCTGACCAGATGTCACTTTTATAAATTTAACACTTATTAATAGTGAAGTGTGTTTTAGAATAAATTCTAATTAAATTTCATTTTTTTACAATTTTTTAGTTCAAAAGTATGACTTACTTTAAAAAAAGTGTGGGGTGGGGGTGGTGTTCTTAACTAGCATGACTTACTGGTACTTTGCATTGCCCCTAATCTGATTGCTTGTATATTTATTTTTAAAATTTAGGTAATACTTGCTGCAGGCTCCCCATATTTCAAGTCCATGTTTGCCTCAGGCATGGAAGAAAGTCGAAAGAGAGAGATAGAAATGAAGCAAATAGATCCGATTGTGTTTGGCCATGTCATTCTTTTCATTTACACTGGGAATGTTGAGATATCGTCTTCAACTGTGCAGGAGCTTTTCATTCAAGCACAGCTTTTTCAGGTAAACCCCTGACCTCTTTGTTTCATAATTGTTAATACCTGTCAAGTTACTTCAGTTATATTTTTTTTAATTTTAAGGAATTTTTCTCTCTTTAGAGCCCATTTATAATTTATTGTTAATGTAAATAAATAATTCTCTTTTTTCCGCCTCATAATTATTTTTTTTCAAACAGATCTATTCGCTGGTTGAACTTTGTGTCACTTACCTAGAGCAGTCCATGAGTGAACCCAACTGTCTTGCAGCTATGACTCTAGCTGAAGCTCACGGACACAAGCCTATGTATGACTTTGCTCTACGTTTTGCCTGCAGACACTTTGATACAATTAAATATGATGAGGACTTTGTCAAATTGTCAGTGAAGTGTGTTGTGGACTTATTAAAAGACAGAAGACTCAAGTGCAGTAATGAAGAAGAGGTAACATAATTTATTTATATTCTTCCTCTTATTTTGAGCTACTAAAACGTATTAATATACAGTCTTATTTGATATGCATTAACTTCTATTCTTTTTTCATACATTAGTATTATATAATAATAATATAAGGGATATAGGAGAAATATCCATTAGTATTCTACATGATTTGATCTTAAAGCAATGCTGCTGATATGGAGGGACAAAATGTATATTTTTTTTTTACCTCTCTTCACAAAATGACCTCCAGGTTTATGAAGCCGCGGTTAGGTGGCTGGATAATGATGTTGAACACAGGAAATGTTACCGCTACAAAGTCCTTTCTTGTATTAAGTTTCCTCACATAAATCAGAGCTATCTAATCGATTGTGTCATCAAAGCTGGACACCTGGCGGATGACCAACGGGGGAGGGAGTTATTAGATGAAGCTGTACTTTATCATACAGTGCCTTCACGCAGACACATGCTGCCTTCATATCAGGTATTTAACCTTTGTCTATGCCAGCAGGTCTCAGAATATTTCAAATATTAAATTTTTTAAATTATACATTTATGGAAAAAATAATATTTTTAAACTGTAGTTAATCTAGGCGAATGGCTTAAACCTGTTTCCGTAATTTAATCCAACTATACATAAATATATTTCGTATACTTTAAGCCAAATATACATAAATGTGTACTGGTATTTTAACTATACAGAGTGCGCCACAAGAAGTATGACTTGTGGGTAAGTGAAAAAAACAACCAAATTGTTCATTCATTCTGTCATACTATCGCTGTAGGCAGGCTATTTTTGTGGCCCACCCTGTATAATAGTACCATTGTGAAAAGGATAGTTTAATACTTTGTATGCAAATAGCATATTTAATCATAAAAAAAACTCTCTAACCCACCCACTGTAAAAAAATAATAACAAAACAATGATTAACTTTTATTAGAACAAGTTATTTACTTTTTGTTTTCAGGACACATATTCATAAATAATTAAATGAATGCAATCTTTTTTAAAGATGTATTCAATTCATCTTCATGCATTAATACCTTTATAATATGATCTGCAAAATTTTGACTTTCAAATTAAAATGAGTTGTTCCAACTTTTGCATTGTTCCATATTTAATTATTATGTAGAGCAATTTTATTTCCGAAAAATAAAAATCTCTATAGCTCTACTTATATATTAAAATGTTAATATAATTCAAATAAAAATTTTAATAATTAAGTCATTATTGTCACTTTAGGAGTTCATTTATGGCCTATCTCTACCATAGATAAATTAAATACTTTAGATGACTTGTGTTTAAATTGTTATAATTGTAAAATGTCTTGGTTTAAATATATATTTTTTTATGTGCAGAAAATAAATATGTACAATGTAATCAAAAAACATTTCCATTTATTTGGATCAATAAAGAATCTTATTTTATCGTTAGTCTTAATCAAACTTATGATAAAATACATTTTCCTAATAATTCTGCAGTTGATACTAGTTAGTTATTTACTGTTTATCATAACGTAAAAGAATGAGACTATTTAAAAATAATTTCATCTCCACAGTTCACACCTCGGTACACATTTCCTTATCATGAATGTGCAATTCTCCTTGGTGGCAGATTGGTGGATGGTCTGAGCAATGAAGTAGAATGCTACAGATCTGATACGCAAGAATTCTCACAGCTCCGCACCCTGCCATTTAAGAAAAGAAATGAATTTGCTGCTTGTGCTGTAGGGGACGAGGTCTATGTCTCAGGAGGACTTAGGAGTCAAGAATTCTGGAAGTACGACCCAACTTTCGACTCTTGGCTCCGGGGAGCGAACATGCTGGTGGCCAGGCGCAGGCACGCGATGGCGGCTGTGGACCACACCATTTATGTCCTTGGAGGTTTTGATGAGGAAGCAGTTTTGGAATCCATCGAAAAGTGGGAGCGGAAATCCAATAAATGGGAGGAAGCTGGTCGCCTTTCGCAAGCTGTGGAAAACATGGGTTTTGTTGCTTTCGGGAAGCACATATATTTGTTTGGTGGTAAAAACATTGAAGAGTTTGTCACAAACACAGTGCAGTGTTTTGATACGGTCACATCAACCTGCAGTGTGTTACAGAAATCTCTTCCCGCACATGATATGTGTCTGAGTGCCTGTGTCTTGGATGGAGCCATCTATGTTGTTGGCCTGGAAGGGTTTTTCCGGTACATACCAGCACAGGAGGAGTGGGAGCTCCTGCAGGACATGAACCTGCCACGGGATTTTGTCAGTCTGGCTGTCCTGGATCAGAAACTCTTCGCCTTTGGAGGCCGCAGGCGTGGGGCTAAGGACAATTTGTATTCAGAAGCTATAGAAATGTACAACCCAGAAACCAACTTGTGGGAGTCAGCTGGAACCATGCCTCTCCGCATGTATTCATATGGCTGTGTGAGAATCTTGCTTAGTCAGCATAGGGGCGGACAGGACAGTTCCTCTCTTCATAAGGTAAAAAAGACAGACAATTGATATTTTTTTAAACCAGAAATAAGCTGAACTTTTGATGACACAGAACTGTTAATTTTGTTTACTGGATATTAATCATAGACCATAACTTTCTGCAAAAAGTGTTCTGTAATATTTTGGTAATTATGGCTATAATAATATCTATTAAAAGAAAACATTTTTCTTGTATGTAAAATAACTTAACATCAAGGATGTCTTTTTTACTTGGCAAATTATGTGAAAGATATATTTTTAGGGAAAAGGCAGTCATTAAGTTATGAATGACAAATATTTTTTATAACTATTTCTTGGTTTCTTGTAAACTTAAGGAAAATTGAAATTTTTCAGTCACTTTTTGAAATGAATTATTTAAACAACCTTAAATTACAAAACCAGTATATTAATTATGGTTTATGCATATTTCAAAATTTACTTTTACATTTCACCTTTTTTTTTAAAAACTGATTTTTGGGGAGGGGGGGGGGGTTTAAAAGTTTTTTTTTTTTTTTGAATTTGGATTTAGATTTAGTTGTTTTTTTTTGTTCAAAAGCACTGCCTGAAGGATGTCCTTTAAGATTTAATTGAATGTTCTTAAGCCCTTGTGTGCCTACAATTTTTTTGTTACCGGTATTACCCTTAGAAATTTGAAGTGCACCATTATAAACATAGGCCAAGGAAAAGGTAGATGAATGAAAATGACAAATTTTGAGGAGCTCTGTCTTGGTATGTTTTTGAATAGACTAAATTACCATTAATTTTCATACCCTCACCAAACAAAAAATGTGATATTATTTTTGCTGTGATGATGTAGCTGTTGCTAAAATATTTTGTTTACATGTTTCCTGATTCCCAGTTTTAACAAATTATTCTAGCAAAATTTAATATTCAACTTTAGGTTTTGCTTTATTCAGTTGAAATGATTGAATAAATATTTATCAGGTGGAAGACAATAATTCAATAAAGTACTCAAAATCTAGTCCAAACTGCCAGTCGTTGCTTGAAGAAGTAGAAGTTTCTGATGGGTTCTAACTTCTGATCTCTCTCTTTGATTTAACCGTATTTTCCAATTTTGTAAATATTTTTATTTTAATTAATTTTTATGATTTTAAAATCATTTTTAAACTCATGATGGTTGGTTTATTGCCATAATCAAGATTTTGGGACAGAAGATTTATTTTTTTTACCTCAAGAATAAGTTACGATTAATCTAGGTTAACGAAATTTCTTTTAAAATATTGTGTATGAAGTTCTGTCTTGAGCGTTTCATTTCTATTGAAGGTAGGTAGTTAAAGAATCTTCTATATCTTTGTGACTTGTCGTAGTAGTACTTGTAGAGAACTATTATTTTTGTGTTTTAGTGTTGTTACTAAACATGAAAGCTGCTTGACTTAATTCCCTTTGTTGAGGAATACTTGGCCCCTGACATTACTTTGCCTATAACTATGTATAAATTGATTTACAGAAGGAAATAAAAATTTAAATGTTCATATCATGTTTTTGATTTTATTTGCATTTCTTCTCCACCGCAAACCCCGGGTTGTCCATACATAACCTTACAAATTAATGCAAGAACTTTGATCTTTATTTGGCTAAAAGTGGGGAAATGTTTATAACTGGTACCAAGTTATAATGAAGACTGTTGGTGTTGGCTTATATCTTAATTTATGACTTGATAAGACAAAGCGTTTGGCTGGTGGGGGAGGGAATTGAAGATCATAAATATTATATTGAATACATCCACAAAGTTATGCATTGCCCAACAGTTTCTATTGGCATGTGGTTAAGTTTTAACCAGGTTTTTAAAAAAAAACATAAAAATCATGGAACCGTCTGTTTTGTTTTACGGAAGCATACTATATATTCACAAATTTAAGCTGATAAATTATACGCTCCTTTGAATTGCATACCTTGTTAAGTGGACACCTCTTTCTCGATACAGCTTTTCATAAAAATAATTAAAATAAATAGTGGCCTTTGCTCCCTATTACTGTAAACAAGACATCTTGTTAGTATTAAGTCTGGTAAGTGAAAACTTCTTTGGCCAATGTATTTGTATTTACTGCCTGTATAGGATTACAATGTTGAAAGAGGGCTTGTCTTTAACAATTTAGTTGTGTAGCTGGGGCTTTTAGGTACATGGTTTACTTTAATAAAATCCAACACATTTTTCCTGAATTAAAAAAAAAATAAGTTAATACAATATCTGTTCTTTGTTGCTGATGCTTCAGGTTAAACAACTTTGAATGAATGAACAAACATCTTTTATGAAACAACATTCAAAGTTAACAGTTTATTCCTCATAGAGTTACCCAACACTTTTCACATTTTCTTAACAATCTCACATTTAAATATAGAAACTTCATCATGAGATTCTTCTGTCATTCAATTAAATCCATCAGGTGTTGTAAGGCTATAAATACATGAGAGCAATTTTCCGTTTTTAAAACTATGCCATTTAAACAGATTGAGTAACTGAATAACATTGACATCATACCAGACCTGTTTACCCTCAAACTCTTAAAATCGTACAATATCATGACAAAATCGTTTAATACGGTACCATATATTTATAGTAAAAAATAAACATTGAGTATATATAATGTTTACACCTCAAAAATCGTACATTGTACGCCAAAATTGTAAGAGTAAACAGGTCTGTCATACATACAAATATGACATAACATCATTAATCATTCACAACAAGTAAATGACTATTTGACTTATTTAAATAACACCTTTTGCTTTCTCATATACCGGGTACAAAACAAAATCCTAAAATGTAATCCAGCATCAAAGTTGTCGAGAAGTTATGGCCCTTGGGAATTTTTTTTTAAAAGTCAAATTGATTTAAAGTATGTACAAAATGAATTTAAATTTAAAAAAAAACAAAATCAACAATTTAGAAAAGAATCTTCTTTGTCTTGTTGGTAAATACCATGTTTCTGGACTTCAGCAGTCGAACTGCTTCTCTTAAATGTCGAGGCTGTAATGGTCCAGATTCACCCCATCCCTCCATGACATCAAGGGCTGCAGCAACATGGCAAAAATAAAACCCATTAAATGATACTTTTAAACAGAAAACAATGGACACAAGGTCAGCTCAACCAGATGATTTAAATTTCAGCAACCTCTAACAAAATATCAATGTTTTATGGTATAGCACTAGCACAGTTTAATCACTTAAACATTCAATAACGAATAGAAAAAAGAGCTCACCTGTTTCAATGACTTCTCCGACAAAAACTTTTGAGATACCTGACATGGCAATAACGACATTTTGTGAAACACTGGTGCCTGTGATATTCTGCATCAACTGTCAAATAAATTTTTTAAAGTTTGCATTTTTGCACAATAGTTTAAATTCTGGAAATCATGCACATTCTATTTTAAATAGCATGAGGCTTGTCAAATCTTTATTTGAAAACTAGTGACATTTATAATGCATCGTAAACCAAAAACAACAAAAAAAATAAATTTATCAATAGATAATTTAAATTTCACACAAAAATGTTTTGTTAATAGAAAGCTGGCAACTAGTCTATTTTTAGACTGTACCTACTAGTCTCTCGTTAGACTGTAGTATCTACCTATCTATTTTTTTCTCGTTAGACTGTAGTATCTACCCATCAATTTTTTTTTTCTCTCTCGTTAGACTGTAGTATCTACCTATCTATTTTTAGACTGCACTTACTAGTCTATTGTTAGACTGTACTTAATCATCTATTGTTAGACTGTACTTACTAGTCTATTGTTAGACTGTACTTACTCATCTATTGTTAGACTGTACTTACTAGTCTATTGTTAGACTGTACTTACTAGTCTTGTTAGACAGCACTTACTAGACTATTGTTAGACAGCACTTACTCGTTTTATAGCTGCTTTGGGGAAGGTAGCCCTCCTAAACATCTCATATCTGTTTAACTGTTCTTCCGAAAAGTTTGATACAAGGACCCTGTGACAAAATGACATACAGCTTGAATATAATAGCATCATTCCTACCCTTGTTAAAATCTTTGATACCTAAATGAAATCCACTCATTTGCCAATGGTTTGAGTGTGGGTAGAATTCATAGGAATATAAAATTTAGTTTGGTATCTTTAGTTTAAATATCGCATCAAAAATTCCTTTGACACAACAACAAGAGAAATATTCTCCCATCATTTAGGAAAATACCCATGTAGTTCACAAATTGTCTTTAATTAAAGAATAAATGGATAATTATTTGTCTACTATAAGGTGAGGCGCACCTAATTTTCAGAACATCTGAGAAAATTAATTTGAGTTACACTGATGAAAGTCACAACAATATAAATAAAGATAGATCATAAGATGTATGCTACTATTTTCAAATGAAGAACATTTTTAAAAATCTTGTCATTATCTCAATCCAGAATTAACCGTGGTAATGATAAACCATTAACACAAGGTAACTTAAAAAATAAATAAATTATAAAGATCTAACATTGAACACAACACAGAGTTTATACAGTAATTTTTAACACAAACAATGGTTAGAATTAAAAATAAAGCAGCATTGCAAACACAGAAATGAAAGTTGAACGCTGAAAACAAAACAAGTCAATCTTAAGTGCAAAAATAAAATGGTGCATTTTAGACAGTGATGACAACTTTTAAGTGTGCAACAGTCATAATGATGATGTTCCTATCTAAAAAATGTAACCAACTTTCACCACAGTGGTTTGAGGCAACCCGCCTCATTTAACAGCAACTACAAATTTGATTCATAACTAAGGGAAAGAAATATTTAATAATTTCATGTTAATGGGATAACGAGAACTTTAAACAAAAATTATAACGGTGAAATACCTGTCAAAATTCTAATGGTTAACTTGTAGCTCATTTTTCAACATAAAACTACTTATTGTAAACAAATTAAACTGTGACCAATTGAAGGCTCAGGGGGGTCAATACAAAGTGAAACTTGACAGGTAGAGCTCATGCAAACTCACAATGTTATCCATAAAGAACAGCTAACACTGCGTACGTACAGACTATTGTTTGGATCTCCAACTAAAAACACTTCTTAATAATAAGCAATCCCATTTTGGTTATAATCAAAATCTAATTCTTGCACCAAGGTGCGGCAGCCCACCCTACACATACATGATCACAAATTAGGACTCCATACAGTACATTTATTTTAAAGCACAACTTTGTTCAGGTTAAAGTTATTGTCTGAAAATTGACAGGTATGATGAAACATATAAGTGCAACATAAATATCTCATAATGGAAACAAAATGAACCAAAGAAAATAATATTTTTAAAATGCAAAAATACCTTTCTTTAACATAGGCTTTACTTAAAAACGAAAAAAAAGAGAGAAAACAAGAAATCATACAGGGAAGAATCATGCAAAAATCAATGATACATAAAAGTAATTAGTATTTTATTCTCATTCCTCCAGGTTTTCATGTGTCTATTGTGTGCTTCTTTTATCTGTTAATATAACAT